ACTTTTCTAGAACTTTTTATTTACATGTAACAATCAGTATTTTTTGCTAGAAAATGTTTTTAGAACCCCCAAACATTGTATCGTTGTATATTTTTTTTTAAAAGTAGAGAATAAATTGCTGGGTTTTGCAATTTTTTATGTCACACGGTATTTGCGCAGTGTCTTTTCAAACACTTTTTTTGGATGGAAAAAAAAAAACACTTTTTTGAATTTTAATGCCAAAAAAAACAGTACAAAACCCATTTTTTGTCAAATAAAAAAATTATGTTACACCGAGTAAATAGATACTAAACATGTCACGATTTATAATTGCACACGCCCAGGGCAGACTGACAACTCATGGGGCCCCCGGGCAATAGGGGATGATGGGGCCCCTGTGTCCTTGCGCAAACTCAAAAAAGCCTATGAAAATGGTACCAGGGGCATCTCATGGGGCTCCCCACTGACCCCGGGCCCTCGGGCAGTGCCCGAGTTTCCAAATGGTCAGTCCGCCCTTGCACACGCCCGTGCAACAGTGACAAACAACGTACATTTTACTACCCAGTAGCGACACTTTAAAAGCCTTTACAGGTTACCACCAGGGGCGGACTGACCATTTGGAAACTCCGGCACTGCCGGAGGGCCCAGGGTCAGTAGGGGGCCCCAAGAGATGGCCCTGGTACCTTTTTCATAGGCTTTTTTGAGTTTGGGCAAGGACACAGGGGCCCCATGATCCCCTATTGCCCGGGGGCCCCATGAGTTGTCAGTCCGCCCCTGGTTACCACTTTAGATTTACAGAGGAGGCCTGGTGCTAGAATTACTTCCCATGATCTGACGTTCATGGTAATATCTAATTTATGGGACAATCGCTGTTTGCGTGTGTGCGTGACTGATGTGTCTGTTCGCTTTTGCGCGCAAGCACGGGGGACGGGGGCACTCTCATTTCTTCTAAAATTATAGTGGCTAAAAAAATTTGGTCATTCCCTTGTGACAGCAATGGGCATGTGACAGGTACTCTTTATGGAAGGACACCATAAGACACCAAACCCCTCTTCTGTTCTTAAAAGCATTTAATCACTACAAGACTGGGATTATTAATTCTCTCCTTTTTTAAAAAATGGTGCCGCGTATTTCCGAGTATACTAGAAGTGATGTAAGGTCATCGCTTCAGGGTTACTATATCATAGAGCCGAACAAAGCCGATGCAGTGTTTGTTGGGCTCTATGATCAGCCTGCGGAAGTGCCAACTGGTCGATCGGGTAGGAGAGGAGATCCCCTTAAAGCTGTGGAAGGCGGCGGGGGAGGGGGGAATGTCCCCTCCCACTGCAGGCATCATCCCAGTATAACGGCTCAAACTCCACGAACTTGCGCATTCATCGCTGGAGTTGAAGTGGTTAAAAACTACATTTTAGCAGCTCAAGCGAACCACACAAATTTCCTTACGGTCTTATGGAAGGCAGCCAATGACTGCATGTGTGCGTGTGTTTGTGCGCATGACCTCAGGTTGTGTCATGTATTTTGAAAATGTGTAACTGTCACTGAAAATGTAAACCAACTCTGTGTATGAGGGACCCCCGAACCTGAAGTGCATTGTGCCCCCCCAAGGTCTAAGTTTGGCCCTGCATCCACCTTATTTGTGTGGATGGAGGAATCCATTCAGTTTTTTTTTTAATCTTTGAATTGTTTGTTGTTCTCTGTTCCTTTTATTATTCTGTAAAATTTCATGGAAAATGTTGCTACTATATGAACAAAATGTTATTGTGTAACAAAAATAAAAATCAGAAGCAGAGGAATAATGTCTATTAGGAGAGGCTCACACTAGCCGCAGCGGATCACTTTTCAGAGCCACTGTCAAACGTTCAAGACGCAATCCTGCCACCTCCTGAATACCTTTTTTTTTTTTTTGCTGAGTGTCAGTTTATAATAGGGCCAATGCAGCGTGGGCCCGTTTTTTGAACAAGCGACAGCTGTGAGCACAGTGTGAGTGCCGAAGGCGGTGGTACTGAGTATCCCCTTGCCCCAGATGAAAAAAAAAAGCCCTGCTGACAAGAGTGACACTGCAGTCACTCCTGTCAGTGAGGGGGGGGGGGAGCTTCTAGCCTTGCCCCTGCCTCTACATAGGGTTGCTATTCCTGGGCCACATTTCCCTTCTGCCTCCCCCATTGTCCTAGCCTTGGTCACTAGAAGGAAATAATGTCCCTACATCGGGAAAAAAATGGCTCTGTGTTAGAGTCAGTGGGGGAAAAATGCCCCTGCATTGGTAGTATCACTGGAAGGAAACATGCCCCTCCATCGGTCTGCTCCTCAACTAGTGACAGTTACCGTGAGATTCTGTGGAGCATGAAGATTTGAGCGCTGGTGGTCTTTTGACTTTGACTGCCTTGTATACATTTATTTCAGGTACTTATATAGCGCCATCAATTTACGCAGCGCTTTACATATACTGTATATATTGTACATTCACAGCAGTCCCTAACCCTCAATGGGTGTAAAATCTAAAGTACCTAGCTTACATTCATACATACACATACTAGGGCCAGTTTAGACAGGAGCCAATTAACCTATCAGCATGTCTTTGGAGTGTGGCAGGAAACCCACGCAGGCACAGGGAGAACATGCAAACTCCAGGCAGGTGGCACCAAGGTTGGGATTCGAACCAAAGACCCTAGTACTGCCAGGCGGAAGTGCTAACCATTTAGCCATTGTGCAGCCGTTATTAATGACATGGCTGCTACATTTGCAGCAAAGCTTGTTCTGTTGAAAAACAACAGACTTACTGGCTAGATCACAAGTGAAACACAAAAGAAAGAATAATAAAAATGTGAAAAATATACAAATCACAAATAATAGCGCAAACCAAACCACACAACTAATTATAACCACCACCAAAAAAGTGCATATTAATAGTGCAAACAAAAAAATCAATAAATAGGGAATCTCAATATAGTCCATTCAGAAAAGTCCATATAAACATGATCCTCAGTAAATGAAGTAATGAGATCCTCCTTCATAAGCAATGTGGTATTCATTGCTCAAAAACACCCCATCAAAATGCACACTCACCATGTGCTAGTAATTAACCAGCATGTCAGTATATATCCAGCATTCACCAAACAGACTTCAAAGGACGATCCTCATGTATTATTTTGAGTTTTTTTAACCCCTTGCTGTCCGCCTGCTGTTTATAAACGGCAGGGCGGTGGCAGTCCAGGGGCGGGTTGCCGTTCCTAAACGGCACCCGCCTTTTCTAGCTGTGCGCGCTCCCTGGGAGTGCGCGCCACCGCGATCCGGTGCCCGCTGTGTCCTCCGGACACAGTGAAACACCGATCGTCAGACAGGACCTCTGTACGAGGTCCCGATCATGTGATCACTGATTGGCGAATCAGTGATCACATGCAAAGTAGTAAGCAAGATGTCACTTGTGACATCATTGCTTACTACTTGTGAAATCTGTGAATGATCACAGAGGTCACATGGTACAAGGCTATTCACAACAGCCTTGTACCATGTGACAAGCTGTGACCAATCACAGCTCACTCAGTACTTCTCAATGACTGCAAGAATGCAGACAGAGAGAAAGAGAAATGTTTGCTTTTATATCCTATATGGGTGTAAAAGCAATCAGTGTAAAAAAAAAAAAAAATCTTCATCACCCCCCACAAGTAGTACAGTGTCACCATGGTGACACTGTACTGCTAGGGTGACAGTATGTAAAAAAAAAAAATATAATAATAATAATATAAAAAAAATAAAATAAAACTGTAAAAAAAAAAATGTTTAAAAATTATAATTTTTGGTTATAAACTAATTTGGATTTTTTTTTTTTACTAAAAAAATAACGGAATAAATTTTGGCCAGGATTTATGATGAAATATTATTTATTTGCAAAATTTTATAAAAAAAAAACACTTTTTTTTTCAAAATTTTTTAGACATTTTCATTTACATAGTAAAAAAAATAAAAGTCCCAGCAGTGAATAAATACCACCAAAATAAAGCTTTATCTGTCTCAAAAAAATGGTAAAAAATTCATATGGGTACAGTATTGCATGACCGCGCAATTGCCATTCAAAGTGTGATAGCGCTGAAAGCTAAAAATTGCCCTGGACAGGAAGGGGGTGAAAGTGTCCGGACTGGAAGTGGTTAATAATAGCAGCATCCAGTGAGTGTATTTCCTCTCTTTATTACATTGGCACAATGATGTTGGTATAATAGAAGTGTTGTATTTATTGGAACATTTCTTTGGTAACTAACTTTTTAGTAACAAAAGAAAGAATGCCTAAAAAAGAAAATGATTGCAGCTGACATCTAAAAATTGGCTGCAATATAATAAACGTTTGCTTTTGGGTTTATTACTGCTTTAAAATAAACACGTAAAAGAAGAAAATGAAAAAAGATAATACTGTTTTATATATGTTATTATTTTTATAAACATAGCAGGGAAAAAAACTAACAAGTTTATGATTGATTTGGTCGGTCAATCCATTTCGCAGAAACTGTCTGTGCTGCACACAGGCTGGGGTTTGTGCCTTGTCATTCTGCACACTGCTTGACTTGGCAGTTATTGCACTCATCACGTCTTGTTTATGGTCTGTCCTCACACATGTCGCAGAGAGTCATGTGACCAGGGGGTGTGTATCTGCACTTGTCTGTGTTTTGCACTCCGCTTTGGATGTGCTCTATATAAACCAGTAAATAGAGCTCAGGGATTCATACGGCAATATCATCACAACAAAATCCAGACTCGGCATCTAGAGAGAACAACAGCCAACCATGGACCCTCGTGACTGCAACTGTGCTACAGGTATGTAGATTGTGTCTGCTGGGTACTAGCTGATGAATGGTGGAATATATTATGTATACAGGTTTTCTTTTAGTGCCCCGATAACTGTACTCTCCTTCTCTCCTAGGTGGCACCTGCTCCTGCGGCGATTCCTGCAAGTGCAAAGACTGCAAATGCAAGTGCTGCAAGAAGAGTAAGTGTACTTACCTGTATAAAAAAAAAAATCCAAAGTGCATATAGAATACTATCAGGGTATTGCATGACTGCTGTTTGTGTGTATTGTCAATATAAAGGGAATAGAAATGTAACTTCTTAAATGTCTACCTTACCTTGCAATAGATTGGTCTTCATTGGTCACTAATCATGACCAGGGGCGGACTGACCATTTGGAAACTCCGGCACTGCCCGAGGGCCCGGGGTCAGTAGGGGGCCCCATGAGATTCCCCTGGTACCATTTTCATAGGCTTTTTTGAGTTTGGGCAAGGACACAGGGGCCCCATGATCCCCTATTGCCCGGGGGCCCCATGAGTTGTCAGTCCGCCCCTGATCATGACCTTTACAATCCTATCTGCTGCCAAGCTTTTTAAAGGCAAATTTGTGTTTATTAAGTTTTAACATACAGAAGGGGAAAGAAAAAAAAAAAAAAAAAAAAAAAAGGACCAACGATTACACATACATACGGACAATCAGCAGGCTCAAGCATGAGGTGAGCCAAAGAGATACCTGCAGTCAGCGAGTATCACTAGCCAAATTCTAAAAATCTTGAGAAATAACAGGTATATAACAGACATATATTCGAAAGAACTGTCCTATAAAAAGACATGAAGAACATCAATACATGTCCATGCAAAGTTCACCATATAAAACAGAGAAAAATAAGAAGTGAACATAGAAAGAGAGGGAAGATCGAAGAGAGAGTCACAGGGGCGGACTGATCATTTGGACACTCGGACACTGCCCGAGGGCCCGGGGTCAGTAGGAGGCCCCATGAGATGCCCCTGGTACCTTTTTTTTTTTTTTTTTTTTTTTTTTTTTTTTTTTTCATAGGCTTTTTTGAGTATGGGCAAGGACACAGGGGCCTCATGATCCCCCTATTGCCCAGGGGCCCCATGAGTTGTCAGTCCGCCCCTAGAGAGTCAGGAGCTGGGACAGACAAGGGTTGGAACCAGAATGGCCCCACACCAAAGGGGCCCAGAGTTGGCATCCCAAACATACAGATCGAAAGCAAGTACTCTGATACAATACAGACCACTGTGGGTCCACCCGACTGAACGGGCGAAGTCTGCTGCCAAGCTTTTAGGCTACGTTCACACCTATGCAGGTTGCAATTGAGCAGTTACTGCATTGCACTGCATTTTTTGATGCGTTTGCTTTTTTTTTTTCTTGTTGCTAGGCAGATTTAAAATGCAAAAACGCACTATATGCTTTTCTGCTGCGAGGTCTAAAGAACCAAAACCGCAACTTTTTGCGTTCAAAAAAGTCCCCGACCCTTTCCAAAAAACGCACCGGGTGAAAACATGGAGATGTGAATATGCCCCATAGGAAATCATGTTAAATGAACTGTACTGTTTCTGCAAAATGCTGCAGAAAATGCTTGGTTGTGAACCTGGGGTTAATCAGTAGTGTTGTATGCTTTGTAACCTATTATTTAACCCTCCTGCTTAAACTGTATGTCATTAACTTCTTGTATTTGGTCTGTTATGCTGGCCATATACTATACAATCTGTACAACAGGAGGACAAAGAAATGCCTTCAATAAAACCAGATCAGGCAGGCCCTTGCACTACATAGTTGATGGAAAGGAAATCGTACAATCAGATTGTATAGTGTCTGGTCAGCCTTAAATATACCATTAGAATAGTTGGACATGCAGACTTGTACTTTTCTCCAGTGCTCACTCCATGTTGTCTCAAAAGAGCAATTAGCCTGGCCAGTCCTATCTTGGGACTATAGAATAATTAGCCTTTAAATTGGGGAGTAGGTGGGTGGGAGCAGTTAGACAAGAGATCATGCAGCTAATTTTTGTGTTGTCAGCCCACAACAGGACTTGTATTTTTGGCAGAAAAATTTAGGTATGATTGGAGTGGAGTAAATATCAGCAAAACATGCACATTTTACCAGTTTAAGATCCCCCCCCCACCCCCCAAGGAAAAAAACAAAAAAAACAAAATTAGTAAGTAGAGTTTTTTTTTTTTTTTTATTCTGGGGGGGGGGGGGGGGATCTTAAACTGGTAAAATGTGCATGTTTTGCTGATATTTACTCCACTCCAATCATACCTACATGGTGCAGACAATATATTCTCAGATTATAGGGGAACCTTTCAGTTTGAGAGGTCTGATGGCTCTGTACTTTTTAATTGCTTACTGCTCATGATTAGGGTTGCCCACCTCATCCCTATAAAAAATCGAACACAGTAATGACACAGGTCCTGAGGCTAATTTATTGCAGATAAATCCCTAAGTGAATGTAATTACCACCCACTTAATCCCTGCCCCACAGAACCTGTGTCATTAATGTGTTCGGTTTTAAAGGGATATGGTGGAAACCCTATTATGATGGGGTAAAATCAACCACAATCTTTTATAAAACCATATAATTGAGTAAACTGTGCCCCCCCTGGTTTGTCTTGTTTAGTTTTTTAATAAAAAAAAAAAAAAACACCTAGATTTTTTTTTTAATTTTTTTTTTTTTTTATTGGGGGGGGGGATTGTAAATACTTATACTATTGGAACGGTAATAAAAATAGGACACCTATTGGATGAGACTGGGTTACATGCATCTTTGGTGTGGCCTGCATTTAGAGATTATCTAGGACAGCGGTTCTCAACCTGGGGGTCGTACGACATTTCACAGGGGTCGCCTAAGACCATCGGAAAACACATATTTCCGATGGTCTTAGGAACCGAGACACCGCTCCCTATGTCTCAGGCGATGTGTGAGCGGGATGATGATATGCTGCCCCTGTCACCTGGCCACACCTCCGGATCGCTCAACAGCTCTGCCTCCTCCTCGCCGCTGATTGGCCACTGGAACTGTAGCTCAGGAGAGGCACACAGGCGGCGTCCAATCACCGGCGAGAAGGTGGAGCTTGGAGAGGAGGAGCCGAGCGGCTGCGCGCGTAGATCAAAGAAGATCGAGGGAGCTGCCGGAGCAAGTGAAGAGGAGAGCGGCCAGAGAAGGAAGACAGCTGACAGGTAAGTGCAAATTTTGCTGCTGCAGCCAGGTATGCAGGCTGTAGATGGGAGAGGGAGAGAGATGCGAGCCCAGCTGGAGCAGGGGTCAGCAAGGTAAGTATCATGGTGTCAGTGGGTTCAGTGCCCCATCATTGTGTCATTAATACCAACGATGAGCACTAATTCTCCCACACAATACAATACCAACGATGAGGCACTATTCCTCCACCACCTACCCACGATGGGGCACTATATCCTCCCCCCACAGACACCAACGTATGGGGCATTATTCCTCCCACTGACACCAAAAAATGGGGCACTATTCCTCCCCCCACCGACACCAACGATGGGACACCTATTTCACCCCCCCCCCACTGACACCAATGATGGGCACTATCCCCCCCCCAACCCAATGATGGGGCACTATTCCCCCTCCACCACACTGACACAAACGATGGGGCACTATTCCCCCCACTGACACCAAGTTGGGGCACTATTCCCCCCCACTGACACCAACGATGGGGCACTATTCCCCCCACTAGACACCAACGATGGGGGGCACTATTCCCCCCACTGACACCAACGATGGGCACTAGTCCTCCCACTGCAAAATTACAGTTATGAAGTACTCACGAAAATAATTTTATGGTTGGGGGTCACCACAACATGAGGAACTGTATCAAGGGTCGCGGCATTAGAAAAGGTAAATTGAGAACCACTGAACTAGGATTATATTAAGGTTGGGGACATGCTATCAAGGGGATCGAGGCAATTATAAAGGTTGTGAACCATATGATCTAATTTCACAGCTACACACTGTAGGCAAACACATGATGCATAGGTCTGTGTGTATGTGGTATCCTAAAAACCCATCAATGATGCATGTTGTGGGTAACCTCATACACAGTGCGTATTTAGTTTTGTACTTGCCCTAGCAACACAAAAATTAGGGTGCCCCTCCCCCATGGAGAGAACCTGACATTGACCAACAACACCCCTGGGCCACCTGTGAGAGCTTTCGACTAAATACAACCCCCCCCTCGTCAAGGAAGACCCTCACCTTTCACAGCTCTGGACAGCCCCAGGAACAAGAGTCGGGCTCGGCATACACCATCAACAAACCGCAACCTCTCTCAAATCCCACCTGGTCCCCATGCTGCATGTGTCCCTTCTTCCATCCCTGCTTCTGGGGGGCAGTGCTGCCCCCCCCTGAAAAATGCCACCCTAGGCAAATGCCTTGTTATTTCCTTGTGGTAAATCTACACCCCCTCTCATACATACCCTAGGCAAATGCCTTGTTTTTCTTGTGGTAAATACACGCCCCCATCCTACAAAGAGTCAATAGTGCCTCAAGAATAGCGAGTTTGATACTGCTGGTGGGACACTGGGAAAAGCTGGCTTGGATAATGATCTGATGATGAAATGTATCTCCTGCTGAGATTTAAATGCTTAACAGTTATCTAATTGCCATTACATTGGATTCAACTGGGGGGTTGATTTACTAAAACTGGAGCGTGAAAAATCTGGCCACGGCTGTGCATTGGGTAGCCAATCAGCTTCTAACTTTTGCTTGTTCAGTTAAGCTTTGACAATAAAACCTGAAGCTGATTGGTTTCTATGCACCAGTATTTTTTCCCCCCTTCAGTTTCAGTAAATCAACCCCACTGCTACAGGAAAGTTGACTGCCAACAAGCAGTTGCATTGAACTGGCAGTGTTTTTTTTTTTTTGCACTGCCTAACCCAGCAAAGCCTGTTGCTCATTGTATATGAAGTAAAAGGCCATTGGGCAAATACTTGTGATCTAGTTCTAGCAAGAGAATCTTCGCCACTTAAAGTAAAAGGCCCTTGGTCATCTCTTTGATCCACAACAGGTTCTATCACTCTCCAAGAACACATTTTATATAAGTGTTGCTATGACTTCTTTTTTGGCAAAAAAACGAACTTAGGACAAAATCAGACCATCAGCGAAAGCCACATAGAATTTCTTTGCTGTGATCTTAAGTTTTAACATCACAGGTATGGATCAATCTTGTGACCCTGAGCCAGTTATAAAATATGCTAAGATTTGTGTTGGGTCTCTAATTATTGTTCAACAAGCACATCTCTGCAGAAATTAAAGGTACGGGCAGG